CATGTTTTATTGGTTCTTTTATGAAAGTGGGAGGAGATGTCAAAGATGAGACGTGCGTGAACTTATCTGTTATTCGCTCTCACTTTTGGAAATTTTGTGCTAAAATGTAATTTTTTAATTTTGTATTTTAAACATATAATGCAAACTTTTTTAACGACTTTGTCAAATTTAACGGATGTTAATAGTAAATTTTTGTTTTTTTTTTGTTTAACATCCTGACAAGAAATTTTCTTTTTTTCTTTATTTTTTTCATCCTTTTTTTAAAGTTCCTATAGACTGCAAACCAATCTTAAAAGATAAAGAAAAATTTTGAACGATATCTCAAACCTTAAAAAAAAAAATGTTCGATAATCTGTAAAACACGATAGGTGAGTCTTTGAATGCTCGAATTCTTCAGGACATTCCTCAATTCAGTTTTGTTTGGGACATGAACTCGTTGTTATAATTATGCTTATTTGAAAAAAATAATAAATCCAAATAAAGGAAATATCTTCCTTTGAAAACGTGATATCACAGTTGTTACATATTAAGTGATTTGCCCACTTCATTGGCGCACTGTTAAGCGTCTGCTCTAGAGTCTTAGAGTAAGGATTTTTAGAATCCTTTACATCGCCTGTTTAATTAAAACTGAGGGACGTAGATACATGTAGAAGTACTTTGAATGAGACAGTATAAACCGAGGTCCATTATTGCAGTAGATGCTGACAAGAAAAATATATATCACTGCTCAAATGTCCTCAGTGCCGAGTACGTATGCATAGGTAAAAATGTGCAGCTCTTCACCGGCAAGTGGTGGCGTCTCCAGATGAGTGAAAATTGTCTGTCTAGAGGAATATTAAGCACAACGTAGACACGGTAGAGGTATTGCAAGCAATCAGCTCACTAAATGATACCCACGTTTCCCATATAAGCATAATGGCCGTTTCCATATTTTGCTATTGGAAACCCAAAATGTGTATGATCAAAAAGTAAACTAAGAGATGCACAATGGCAATATTAAATAGATATTCTTGTAAGTCTACATTAAATTTCATTCAGTGGTATTTCAGGAGTTGTGAATAAAAGAAGGGTACCCCCAAAGCGTAACAGACGGACGGACGGTCCGAACAAATGGACGATCGTACAGACGGACTGACAGACATTACGATTACTATATACCCTCTCGCATTTCAAGCGAAGTATAACAAACAACCATTTAGATGTATGTAAAGTCAGACGTCTGAGGGAAGAGGCATGATCTGCTTCAGTCGTGTGGAGTACTTGTGTGTTAGGACATCACAGTCTGTTTTATCTCTATTTTTTAAAGCAACGTAACAAGCAGAATGAGACTATTGCATCTGAGATGTTATTTCAAATGACAGTCAATGATTTAAATTTCTTGTAATTAAGTCAACATTGATAGTTCTTATGTTCTTTGTTGTATTTAAATCCTCCTCAGCAGATCAAACGTCTGTTGAAAGTAAATGTCAAATTAATAAAACTGTTGCTCTTTATATACATTTAATAGTATGTCTTCGTTAAAAAAATCAATGCAATATTATCTGGAAGTGTTCTGAATATTTCATAAAGCTTTCTTGGTGATTAATACTATATTGAGGGTGGAAAAATTGTCCATTCTCTCTAATTTTTAAATTATGCCTTAGTCTCATTTTCCGGCAGGTGGCCGTAGACCGGTAGTACATATATATAATTTGTGATGCGAGTGATGTTATGCCTTTACATCGGTCCACATCGGCCTAGTAATCCTTAAAGTATCAGTCACGTTATCCAGCGACGGGGTATGCAATGGAATACCAATGCGTTTTTTGATAAAAATGGCGTGGTTGCTGGTAGGACTTACAAAGGCCTAGCGTGGCATTGCTAATCATAGAACAATGTTCCAGGGTAATCGGCCGATGTATATCACATCGCTTATACATTGATGAACATCGTCCGTACAACGGTCGACTATTGTCCAATATTTGGTCGTACATCGATCGAAGATCGGCCGATGCCTGCTTACCACCACTCAACCCCTCGATGACCTCAGATTCAAAGGGCACTTAACGATGATCGGCCATACATCGGCCAATCCTTGAAAGATGTGTTAATGATGCGTTGCTGATGAGGAGCAATGTGGGGCATCGGTTGAGACATCGCTGACTTTTATATTAACTACATTAATTATTCTCTACCGATGACCCCCATTGATTCAGCAAATCGCCCCAATCACCGTCTGATTACTATAGGTGTCCGACCGGCAACCACGCCATTTTTATCAACAAACGCATTGGTTTTTCATCGTATATCCTATCGCTGTATAATTTGACTGATACAAAAATTCCTTCAGCACAATAAATTTAAAACAAAGAAAAATGAAAACAGATGAGAGAGATAGGCAGGTAGAATCAAAACTACTATTTTGTTTATTTTGATGGAATTCTTACAAAATGACAAAGGTGTTTTCTTACATTGTTGAGAAACAAATGAAAGACAAAAAAAAATAGTCATACTTGCCAACTTTCCCGATTTTGGCGGGATTCTCCCGATTTTAACCATTCATCCCGCCTTCCCGATCGGGAGAGAAAAAAATGTCCCAATTTCCCGATTTGAAAAAAATTCAGATTTTCAGTTTCGCCGAATTTTGTCAATCGGGATAAGAATATCATAGTTGTTTATTCAATGCACACAGATAAGTCTCATTGTTTATTTAATTTAGCATGCAGGAAATCACTTCTCGCTTCAACGCACAGGTTGCTGTGTACGTACAGGTACAGGTAGCTTATAGCCTGGAGCATTTAGGGGATTAATCTTTTCAGTTTGAAGGGGTATCCGCACTGAAACACATAAATTAAGGGCTTAATGTATAGTCATTGTTTTAAAAACAAAAATTAAAGTAAACAAAATGATAGGCCCTAATCAAACAATAAAATAGGAATCCAAAAAGATCGTTTTTTGAAAACGAAAGTAGAAAATTTCAAAGCATATATAGCTGCTGATTTTAACTGCTAATAATTAAAATTTTGTATAGTTTGTCAATTTAAAAAAAATATTTCTTTGTTACATATATGTCAACATGGTCAAGTAAATACCAGAGACCCATATGGCATTGCCAAGACTGCAAAAGTTGATCATGGTCATGATGTAATCTTTTACAATTTTAATTTTTCTTTGGGATGGGTTGGGTGGGGCTTGTGTTAAAAAATTCATGATTTAATTAGGCCTATTTCTCAAAATTGTGCGAGATAAAATTAATGATGCACTGACTATAATATGGAGTGTTTGGCGTAGTCCTGAATAAGCGCTACACATATAGCGCTAAAAATAAATTAAAAAACAATAATACTGTCTAAGTGTTTAAGTATATTTTTGATATCTTAATAATTTTTAAACATCGTATTACATTAATGCTGTTCAATAAGCGTGCCCACCTGTCTGAAAAAAAAGCTCAGGTAGTAGTTTGATTGTTGAGCATTTAAAAAAACTATTTCTATTAATTCTAGGTAATTAATTAGCGTTTTCTAGTCAAAAAAGGTAAAAAAAAATGTGTACATGTAATCAATGCTCAAAAGTGATTTTGCAAAACAAAATCACATTAAACATGGATAAATATTTACATACATCTATAGATGCCTTTTGCCTGTTTAAATACATAACCATGAAATCGACCTCAGTGTTCGAGGCCTAATAATATGACAAATCGAAGTTTAAGTAAATGAAACACATCATATCGCTTCCATTTTTTAACGGTAATCATGGATTAGCGCATCGTTGTCTGTGCCAAACCTGCTAAAATTTGAAGCCCGCTTCGTCAACTTCTCATGCAGTATTTAACGTCTATTCAGATATTGTTAATTTTAAAACCAAGTTTGTGTTACGTCTTCCTGGTTGAACTTGTTTCAGTACAAAATGAATTGCTGCAAATAGTCCGAATTAATAGTATTTCCTGATGTTATTATGTTATCAGTAAGTTTAATGATATAATATTTTCCGGTTATAATTTAATATAACCCAGAATAAATTTTATTGTTTGTCTTTCTATGTCGGAGTTCAAAATTGAAAGGTTATCTGATTTACGATTAGTTTGCCTCATAAATTGATGTTTTATCACCCACTATTTTTTAGAATAATTGAATTTTTCAATCATCATTCCCTCCGAGATCTTGTGCTGTTAAAGTCATATTATGAACATTGAAAGGGAATGATAGATATTTTTTCAATATTGCAATCATCAACTTAAAAATGAAACATATTGAAATAACAAATGGTATTCAATAAGTCCCTAAAACAATACAACTAGGAGCAGAGCAAATATTAAATGCAGAACTCCAAAACATCAGATGAGATCCAGTGCCATGGAGAAGTGAGCCGACACCGTGGCGTGCTCCATATCAGGATCGAGAAATAGCGGAAAAATCTGACGTCAATTTAGTGAATAAATAATGGACTAACAATTAATATGAAAAACTTCAGTCAGAATTTGACTCAATGATAAATTGTATTTGCTGACAATGTCATTGTATCGACCATAGAACCTACAAAATGATGACTGTAAACGAGACTGCTGATAGTTTTGTTTCATCATCTTAATCGTCAATAATTTACCACGAAAATAAGTAATAATGTAAATTTTAAAAAAATTCATGAATTATATAAGCATATCTGTGGTCTTTAGTTTTTGCTTCTGCAAGGTGAAGCCAACAATATAATTTATATGATGCAGTCGTTATATAGTCCAGTTTTTTTTTATGTTTGATGATTTTTTTTTAATTTTGGACATTTATACAGCATAGCTTGTTTGATATCGAGCCAATTTAATGCAGAGAAATAGAGTCAGAAATGTTGGACCAATAGCAAGTCAACATGACTTCCAAGGGAATTTGGCCTGGAGCCTACAAAAGATCACTACTAGGGAACATCATTTGCCTTTTCTTTGGAGGAAATCTGCACAAATACATTTATAGTTATTTTGCGTTTTATTTTCATCTCATTATTATGTCTGCAACCGTTGATATTTTATAGGGCTACTACTATTTGAATGTATTTGAAATTTATCGTCTTTATTAATCAGAGGCTAAGAGATATATGTGATGTAGACGTAGATGCTAAGCATTCAATAACTAGGAAACTACCAACACCATGTTTAACAATATATCTATCTTTCAAATCTCTTTTAAGACTTTTCCAATTACTTTTGTACAATTCTGTTGTTCTTGTGATTGCTCCATGTGTTTTGGTTGTTTCATGTGATGTCATCATAGAGAGATCCATGTTGTTAGTTGAGGCCCTGTCTTCTTTTTCTGAGAAAAATGAAAACAGATTTTATCACTTAATTTAAATTGATTCTTTTTCCTTTATTTGTTATTTAGTCTCCTTTTTTCTATCCTTATTATACATAATGTAAATAAATAGTTAACGTTAACAAAGACACAGCGACTAGGAAAAGGTTTAAGAAATATATACAGAACATATCTACAATCATTCATCCTTCAAAAAAGAATCATACTAATTGAATTCAAAAAAATGTCAAATTTTGATTTTTTTTACAAGAAATATTTTTGATCCCCTTTACAATTTCAAAAAAAGTAGAAAAGCAAGTCTTCTACATCTATTTTTTTCATTTTTTTTTCTAAAGTGTTACTTAGAAACAATAAAGATTTGAGAAGAAAATGACCCTTTGATGTTTAATGGAAAATCCTTATCGCGGCAATGTGACCCAATTCGTTTCCCTGTAGAGGAAACGATCACTTGTATATAAGAGCTGTTAGTTCAATCGAAACGTTTTTAAGAACGATGCAGGATAACCTTCTTAAACATAAAATATTGTTCTAAAATAAATGCCGTCCTCAGAGTTTATCCTGCAACATTTGCAATAATACAAACTTTATTTCGTAAATATATTTGTTCATCAAATTAAAACAATAAATCACAAAATTGAATTTTGTTATTTTTTTGTCCCGATAAAAAGAAGTTATATCATAAACGTAATAAAAAAAATTAGATTGGAATTTAATCTTAAAATTGTTTAATATTTCGATAAGTAAGAAAATTCTGAATGAAAGAACAAATTATAACTTTTACAATTTGCTTAATCGTTGCTGCTATACATTGTAACAATTACAGTTTTTTTTTCCAACTTAAACTGCCTTTCGTTTTATTCGGGCCTTATTCGAAACAGTGATAATCCTTTGTTGAAACAATCGTAATAGAACTTGATTGACTGGAATAAACAACGTTAAGTCAACACAAAATCAGTCAATTGTCTAACAAATAATGCCTACAACGGGCCCCACAATAAAGCAAACTATGTCTATTTATAAGGAAAGCCATCTCGGCAAAAACATTCAACATATATGATTCTTCTAAATCTCAGATCTGCATTGATGTGTTGCAATTGTTAATGATTTAAGATAAAAACTATCATGCTTTCAGTTTCTTACCTGTCTTAACTTTCTTGTCATTAAGAATACATCCCCAGAGTGGATTACAATACTCCTTTGTACAATTGCAGGTTTCTTCACATATTCTCCCAAACATTGGATATACACAAGCTTAACATCAGATGAAATTTCAATTAACTTTGCGTAATGCAATATACGTACTTAACATAATTTCTTCATAGGTTAGTCGTCTCCCGCATGGCACATTGGTTAGAGCGTCTGCTCTAGAGTCGCGAAGTAAGGAGTCAATCCTCGCGGGTTCGAATTCCACTGCGGGACGTGGAGACCGGTCCTTCGGATGAGACCGTATAAACCGAGGCCTCGTGTCGCAGTAGATGCTGGCACGAAAAAGATCCCTCACTGCTCAAAGGCCCTAAGTGCCGAGCATAGGACAAAATTTGTAGCCCTCCACCGGCAAGTGGTGGCGTCTCCATATGAGTGGAAATTTCTCCAGTGGGACGTTAAACAATATACAATCAATCAATCAGTCATAGGTTTATCTTTAATCAACAAGTTATGTGACAAGTGCGGTTATTGTTGAACATATTTTGGTATTTTTGATCTTCGAGAATGATTGAGAACAGAAATGTGTAAAATTTGACCTTTCATAAATTAATTTTCTCTTTATCTAATATTAAAATTATACATGAAGCTTTAATAGTGTTGATGTTTCATATCTATATATGTTTGTATAGGAATTTTACACTTGGTTTTAAAAAGTTTTCAAAATGTTATATTGTTCGCTTAAACTCCTCATTTAATATATTCTTTTTTCCATTCACGGAAAAAAAATTTTTCATATATACTGCAAAGCTATCAGAAAAAGTAATTGATATGATAATTACAATATTTTGAAGAAGATCGTGTGAGATAAATCTACATATAAATCTACCATACTAAGAAAGAAACATCCTATATCTTCCATAATTCAAAATGCCTGCGCATTTAACAAAACTTCAAATACCTATTATGAAGAGCGAGTCATTTCAAGTTGCATATCGTAGTTACCATTTAAGAAACCATGCATTGAGGTACATTTTTATTGCAAACGATATTTTATTAGCAGCGACAATGATTACATTAAATAAGACTTACATACACACTTCTGTTGTTCTCCGTTGTATATAAATCCTCTGCAGCATATCAAAGGTCTATTGATTTTGATAATAGAGTAAATTGTAAAACAAAGTATTGAGATTTCTAAATTAAGTGTTATTTTTCTAAATCCATTTCACCATTTACTAAAGTATTTAAACAAAAATAAAACGCAATGGTTTTCGTTGTGTTTTCCTTAAATGTTCAAATTAATTATTATCTCTTGTTTTAGGAATGGAAGACGAGAAATCTCACTGCAATAAAATGATTCCTCTTATACAGTTCAGCTGTTTTTTTTTTTCACATTAATTCGAAAATTGTAACAACCTCAGAATCAACCTCTCTTGCTTTCTGTTTTTTTTTTTAATTCTGCGTTCAGTTCAGCGTTCTGCGTTCAGTTTGGAATTGAAACGCTTTAAAACTGATATCTTAACAACACGACTGAATAGGGAAAATGATGATCGTCCAACAATTTGAACACATCTCTTTTATACAAATTCCCAACACATGTAACAAATAATATTATAGCAACTTACCCAGCGCATCGACCATATTGTGCAGAGTCGGATTCAATAAGTGTAAAAAGAAAAACGTATCCAAAGATTCGGATATCTGGCAGCATATGTAGTTTCATGTTCATTTTAAGCAATTTATATTATAGGGCAGTATAAATTCTTTTCATAATTGATATAAGAATAGCTATTTAAATCGCAAGTTTGTATGCAGTTTGTAATAACTTCCCGTTGAAAATTATTTTGAGTACCATCTATATTGCGACCAAGGGTCTAAAGTATTGTTTCCTGATCTATTTAAGTTATAAAAAAACGATAATGATACTTCACACCTCCTATATGACAATATTATGACCCGAAATAAATGTTAGATCAAAAGTAAAATAAGAGGTGACATGTACAATGGCACAATGTAATAAAGAATCTGTGAAAGTATAATTTAAAAAATATTATTCCGTGGTATGAAGGAATTGCAGATAACAGATGGATTTACCCTTCAATATTGGAAAGAATGGCAGAATCCATGTAATGCCAAGGGAGCCCAAATTAAAATTTAAATAGGTGTACTTTGGCAGCATTTGATTAACAAAGATTCTGAGAAAGCCTCTTTAGATACTTTAAACCTCATTAAATTCCATTCAGTGCTATCAAAGAGGAGTTTTGGATTAGAAAACCCGGGTACCAAGAAGCGTATCAGACGGACGGAAGGACTTATGGATGGACAAACATCTCATTACTATATACCCTTCACCCTGCTTTTCAAGCGGGGATATAATAAGTTACGTTCATGATGAAGGAAACAACAAAGAATGAATGTATATTTGTGTTTAAAATGGGTATTTGAACAAGTAAAAAGACAACACAAAAATATTCCGATATCTTTCAGTGTTCTAAATACATGTATTAATTCTAGGCAAGTTTTAAGTGTTTGTTAGAGTACATATCACACGTACAATGTACTTTTAATACCTGGAATGTTGTCTTATGTTAAAAATTGATGTTTCTACAGAGGGTTTTTTTCTGCAGACTTATACATGTACGTCGCAGTGATTAAGATTTCTTGCATTGTAAAAGTTTGTCGACTCTTTCAGGTACGATAACGAAACCGAACTGATGGCAAAAAATCAAAACTTTGCATAATTCATATACTTATAAATAAGCCTTCTTACAATAGGTAGCAATTTATTTTTACACCTTTGAATTTATAAATTATCAGCTCCTAAATTAATAATCATCCGGAACTGGTCAAAAATTTGGAACTGGCTATTTAATATCAGTTCTCTGTAATTATCAAAATTAGTTGGCCACACATAGAAAACCATTTTGATCTTTTTATAATAATTTTAAATAGCTATGCCATTAATTGTAAAATCTAAAGTGGGTTTATGAAATAGACCCTTGGTTGCCATAGAAACGGGGTGCAAAATCCTCAATTTCGTTAATTTTGAAAAACGTGTACTTATCAAGAAAAACTGTGTCCAGAAATGAAAAGGGATAACTTAATATGTTTTCATTATTTAAATTTAATCCTACAGATTAAAGTAATTATATCTGTGGTTTTAATTTAATCTCTCAATAGTAAATGGCCATTTTACATATTATAACATATCAGATATGTGATTGGTTTAGTGGAGTTTTTGGAGGCTTAAAACAAAAAAGGCACACTGATTACAAATTTAGTAATTATTAATTATGAAAGGCTGATATTTCATTATATCAAAATATGTAAAACATTGGTGGGAGACTCAAAGATGTAACAGGAATTCAATGGTAAAGATGACTTTTTTCTACATTTTGAAGCATTTTTTGCTTCCTAATTACTTCCCTTGAACTACTCTCTAACGTTTGGAGGTACAATGTGTATTTAGTAAACAGCAATGAACATTTTCTGGCGAAAGATCTCATCCAAGTTTTACAGTCTGGAAGAAGAAAAGAAGGCTAGACATCTTAAACAATGAAGACAGAAGGTAAATTTATGTATATACTGAGCATTACAAAAATATCAAGATTAACAAATGCATATTTTCTTAATTTTATTTGCCTTACAATACACAGTTGTTTTACCGGTAGTGGTCAGTGGTCCTTATCAAATCAAGCGAACTATACCTTTTGACAGTTTGACTTTCTGACAAATGAATTAATTATTTTTATTAATAAAAATGAATTTGAAGCATATAAACATCACTTGCTGATACAGCTGAACCCCCCCCCCCCCGAAATATAAATGTCTATATAGAGATTGTATAAAATCTGTGCCATTCAGTAGGTTTACTTTTTATGATGTGCTGAGAGATACTTTAAGTGAACATTATTTATCTTTATAATATAAATTTCCACTTCTGTCAGTTTTCATTCATTGTTTATCCTATTATTTCAATTCTTTATTGGCATTAGGCACATATTTTACAGAATTGTGTTGTTAAAATATTTAACTACAGCAAGTTTGTTTCTATTAAAAAAAAAGTGCATCAAACGTTTATAATGTGTGAGCACAAGCATAAAGTAGCTAAGTTTTTTAAATAGTATTCTATATATCAGCAAAATATGGTCATGGTTCATAAGCAGAAAATAGGAAAACAGCATGTTTGTTTTGATGTCATTGTTTTGTTTAATAGCTTCTATCTTTTAAACTTTAAATTTATTATATTTATCCAAAACTGTACTATATGTATTGACAAAATAGATCTAGGTTAAGAATGCACTGGAAATATTGAGTTATTTTTGTTTATATAGACTCTTTCATTCGTCTGTGAAGTACCGGTACTGTATAATCTATAGTTCAATTTTTTTGTGAATAATAATAATCTTTTCAAATAGCAAACAGTAAAAAATATATATGTACACTTGTACATATGTATTAGTGTTAAAACAAAATTTAACTAGAAGTACTGTGAGCAATGAGCTCACTAAATGATACCCCCTGCCTCCCATATGGTTATAACTGATGACAAATCCATGTTTTACTGTGGCAGGGAAACCCAAAATATGTGTCGAATCAAAAAGTAAAGTAGGAGGTGCACAATGGCAATATGTAATAAAGATTCTGTGAAAGGTTCATTAAATTTCACTCATTGCAGTGGTATAAGAGGAGTTGCGGATAATAAGAGATGGGTACCCTAAAGCGTAACAGACAGACAGACGTACAGACAGATGGACGTACAGCTAGACGGACATACCGATTACAGTATATCCTACCACTTTTCAAGTGGAGGGTAAAATAAAACTATATACATGTACATGTAGAATATTCACCTCTGATTTATAATGATATTTGTTTTATACACACTGACCATGTTTTATAATATTCTAAACAAATTATTTGATACTCAGGAAAATATTCACTACTGGTAAGATGATCACACACATGAACATGTCTGTGTATGAATGAAATGAATTTTCCTTTTGATCATGTTCCTAAGAAAGTAATTATTTTCATCATTTTTTCATCAAAGGATTTACCATATAAGATGAATAAAGAAAAAGTAAGACCAAAAAACCAAAACAGGACCAAATAGGCCATGACTGAAGTTCAAGTGCATTCTGCAAGAAAGTGGACACCTAGATTTTGTTCTTTTCAAGGTAACCATTCTTAAAATATGAAAGTAAATTAAGGACAGATGATACAAACAAAAAATGGATGCCTGGATTGGTATATATTTTTTGGCATAATTTAATTGCAAATTAATGATGCTATTAATAAATTTCTAGAATATTAAGAAATTGTAAACCTTCTGTGATGTTCAAAAGTCTGCCCTCTTGAAACTATCCTTATTAATCTATACAAATATTTTTCACTTCAAATTCCATTTTTATGCAAATATGAATTAAAAATTAAAAAGTAATTGAAGAAAGTTGTTAATTTTACTGATTTAAACATGACCCCAGTTGTTATTTTCAAATTCTTTGACAAAAGTTTGTTTGTATCATCTGTCCTTAAATTGTTAAAAAATATTTCAGTTTTATATCTTAATTCTTTTTTTTTAAAACAAAATTTAATACCTGTCTAGTATTACAGAAGAATTATTATACTAGAATAAAGAAAACAACTTTCTAAAGGATTACATACACATTTAATTAGCTTGAAATCAGTGTATATTGGAAAGTGCAGGAATTATTTACCATTGCAGGTTGAGAAGGGATGCCATATTTTAGGTTTGAAACCAGGCAAGTGAAAGCTGAATTCCAACCTACTTCAACATACTTGTACCCACTGTCTTCAAGATATCAGTGTTTGAGATGTCAAAGTTCAAATATAATAGGAACATGTTTATCATATTATGTGATGGCATCCTCAAATCTTATGCTGTATAACAATATGTTTTAGAACTTATCAAGCTTTATCCTGTACCTTGCCAAAAAAACTCAACTCAGCATAATTCTCATTAACTAATTATCAGTGCTACTTGCGTATGTCAATGTAGGTCAATACTGGTACATGCCTGACCAACAAAAACTCTAAAATTGAAAAATCAGAGACAAGATTTTCAGAGCAGCAGAAACAGTAGAATTTGTCTCATAAATCTAATGATATATACCGTAGTTGAGAATACATGTACTCTATATGTTGCATATATAAAAAATAAAAAAAGCGAAAAGTTCTCTTGTTTTCAGAATTTATATTTACATGTGAAAAAAAAAGGAAAGGAGATTGATATAGTTGGTGTGATGAGATGTTGGCAGTAACCTAGTAAAATGAAAAGAAGAACTTCCTTGAAATGATACTTGTGGGGGACAGTGTCTCATGGGGGGGGGGGGGCATTCTTTCAACTGACTTTACAGAATACAAAAGATCCATTGCAAACCTAATTATTAATTATATGCCAAACACTATGCTTAAAGTTTTCCATTGTTGGATATTTATGTTTAAATCCAAGATAACTTACCCAAGAGGATGAGATTTTTTAAAAACCAATGTAATTTTTCTCAAGTTTAAAGCCGTGTTTCATAAGTTTTAGAAGAAAAAATCAGAAGGGGAGTGGGGGGGGGGGGGGTAAATTTTTGACTTCATTCAAAGTATCTGTGGTTTGCAGTTGCCCATGAATTTAATAAATAATTATACAAAGTAACAAGTTGAAATGAGTAAAATATTATGAATGTCCTGCTTGTTTTAGTTTCATTTCAGAATTTTTCAAGTTTGACAAAATCTTGAAAAAGTAAAA